TTGAATTTTAGTGGAAGTAGAGATTGCCCCTTATTCTATATGGGGGAAGATTAACTCAAAGAAAAAAATAAATACTTTGTCAGACACCCAAGAGGTGTTAAGTTAGTTGTTCCAGAGCCCATAAAAATTGAAGTAATATGTAAAGGGGTGTCTAACCAAACTGCTTCTGATCAATGTGTGAAGAAAAAAAATAAAAAAAAAAAGAACCTTGCTAAACCTTGAAAATCAAAGTGTTCTTCAAATTGTTGAGTCTGATTCCAAGAAACAAAAACTTTACAAAAATCTAAATTTGTCTGAGGTGGAGGAAACCAGCCTTAACTGGTCACAAGTTTCCCATTGAAGGCCATGGTGTAGAATTGTAGAGGTCTGGGAGGACCCTCTACAATTTCCCATTTAAAAAAGGCTCTGATAAACCACCCCTTGATTTTGGTTTTATTTCTGAAATATATAAAAAAAAAAAAAAAAAAAAAATTGGCATGCTGCTTGTGTGGTCTGATAATATCAATGTGCTTAGTGATTTAAGCTTTTGTCTAGAAGTTAATTTTTGTTGGGGTGATAGTACTGTCAGTCAATGGGAAACTTATGTTTATGCAACTATTAATCCCAATGAAAGGCAATATCAATGGAGTGTGTTATTAAGGCATAGTTTAACCTGGGCTAGTCTTTTGTGTGCATATGGGGATGGGGGGGTTCAATGATATTCTTGGTAACTAGGAAAATAAAAAAGAGGGATAAAAAGAGGAGGCTAGTTTCACTAATTTCAGGAATTTTGTGGTTGGGCTTGGTGGGATTCAGCTGAATTCAATAGGATATCAGTTCATTTGGTCTAATAACAGAAAAGGGAAAGACTTCGTGTAAGAGAAGTTAAATAGGTTCATTGTCTTTCCTGAGTGGGCTATTAATCTTCCTTTTGCCCAAGTTAATCACTTTTTTGTAATTTCTTCTGGCCACTGTATAGTGATGTTGAAGGATCTCAATGTTTGTACCTCTCAGAAGAAGAGGTTCTTTTTTATGCTACGTGGGTTAGCAAGAAGGGTTTTTGGATGTGGTGGATAAAGCTTGGAATAGGGAAGTTGATAGCCCTGATCTCTTTAGGATTCATACTAGAATCAGTAGGACTACAATTTCCCTGTTGAAGCGGAATGCAGATTCTCAGTCTAATTTTAAAATCTCTATTGACTATTTGAAACAGAGGTTGGAGGTTTTAGAAGAGAAAGGGGATAAGAAGATGTGGTGCATGGGGTGAATTGAACAAATATGTTGAACCTAGCTTATAAGGATGAGGAACTCTTTTGGAAACAGAAGTCTAGGGTTAGTTGGCTTAGAGATGGGGATGAAAAGTCAAGGTTTTTTCCAGCCTCAGTTAAACAAATGAGGTGTGTTAACTACCTTAATAACTTGGCTAAGTGAGACGGGACTAAATGCCAGAGTGAACATGACATCCTTGAGGTTAGCTTGGAACACTTTGATACCATTTTTAGATCTTCTAATCCCCCTGACCAATTGTGCAATTTAGAAGGCATTCCTAAATCTGTGACTGTGGAGATGAATTCTAGGTTAACTAGGGATCTAGGAGAGGAAGAGATTCATGAAGCCATCATGGGAATGGAACAATGTAAGGCCCTTGGGAATGATAGGATGACTGCCTTGTTTTATCAAAAAGTTTGGCCAGTGATCAAATTGACTTTTTGTTAGGTCATTAGAAAATTTTTCCAAAACGGCAAAATGCCCAAATGACTTAATTAAACTGTCCTGACTTTGATTCCGAAGTACCTGAATTCTCAGTTAGTGTCTGATTTCAGACCTATTAATATATGTTCATTGATTTACAAAGTGATTGCTAAAATTCTTGCCGACATAATTAGAATTGTTTTTCTTTCTTGTATTTCATATTTCGAAACAGCTTTTATCCCCCAGATCAGATTACTGACAACATAGTGATTGCTAATGAGTCTATCCATCTTCTTAATAGCAAAAGAAAGGGGAATAACTGTCTAATGACTATCAAACTTGACATGACAAAGGTTTTAAACGAGGAACTCATGCTCCAATCATTTTACATATGCTCCTTGCAGATGATTCCAATCTTTTTTGTAGAGCAAATATGCATCATGCTATTCAAGTCTTAAACATCCTTAATGCCTATGGGAATGATTTTGAGCAACTTGTTAATCTTGAGAAGTCCTCCATGTTTTTTCTCAAAAAATACACCGCTGGGGAGGCAATCTGAGATCAGTAACATTCTTAATGGGATTACCAAAGTTTCTTCCTCAAGGTACTTAAGTCTTTCATTAGGGATTAGGAAATCCAAAACGAAAATCTTTCAAATTCTTCTTGATAGAGTGAAAAAAAAAATCTGGCGAGCTGGAAAAATGTTTTCTCGAGTGAGGCATGCAAAGAAACCTTAATCAAATATCTCCTCAGTGTTATTTCTACTTTTGTATGTCATGCTTCAAAGTGCTAGTGAATATCATCTCTTGTCTAGTGAAATTTCAAAGTTCTAGTGAGGCAAAAATGACAATGGGGGTGAGAGAGTTCATTGGGCTAGATGGGAGATATTGGCTAAACCTAAAGATCTTGGGGGGTTGGGATTTAGGGAGGTGAAATCCTTCAATGAGGCACTATTAGTCCAACAGTTATGGAGGATTGTTACCAACCCCAATTTGTTGGTTAGTAGAGTGCTTAAAGAGAGATATTTCTGGGGTAGAAAGCTTTTGGATATTGTTTCTAAAGGGTCTTGACTCCTGATTGTGGAGGAGTTTGCTAAGAGCTAGGGATTCTTCTAAACTAAGGGCTAGGTTTGAAGTTGGGGATGGAAGGTCTATTAAAATTTGGAATTCCCCTTGGCTTCCCAATAATTCAAGCTTTAAACCTCAGTGTGTTTTTCAGGATGATGGGCTAAGGCTTCAGACAGTTAATGATTTGATGCTAGAGGGGCAGAGGGGCTGGGATTTAGAGTGTGTGTTGCAAACTTTTAACTCATATGATGCAGAAATTATTCTGAAAATCCCAATCAAGCAACACAGGACTAAAGATCACCTCATTTGGCATGAAAGTAAGAAGGGTTCTTTCACTGTCAAGGAGGCCTACAATACCATTTTCCATCACTCTCAACAGGCAGCAAAATGTCGCAACCTCTAGCAATTTCCATGAAAAAATGCATAAGCTTTGGAGGACTCTATGGAAGTTGCCTATACTTCCTAAAATAAAAAAATTTATTTGGTGTCAAGAAGCAACTTCAGAGAAAGGGCGTGAGGTGGATGAGATATGTGATTGTTGTGGTATGGAATATGAAGACTTGACTCATGCTTTAAATACTTATCAAGAGTTGCCTTGTGTTAGAAATTGAGTGGGGTAATATGGGATCATTTTGCAGAACTTAAGGTTAGTTTCATAGGTTGTGGGGGGAGGTCTGTTGTGGAGATAAATGAGTGAGCTGGGAAGAGAGGTTGAGTCTAATAGCCTCTCTATTGTGGGAACTTTGGAAAGTCAGGAATGATTGGGTGTTCAATAAAGTATAGGTCTCAGGAAA